TGGCTAAGTCGTGGATTGACACTGGAACGATTTCTAAATTTAATAGAAGAAATTGGAATATTTCTGGCGGAAAAGCATAGGGATGTCCCGGAACTTAAAAATCCTGATTGCTTGTGTGATTCGGCTTTTTTAGTTGATATTACAAATCATTTGAATGTCTTGAACACACGACTTCAAGGCAAAAATCAACTGATATCCCAGCTCTACGCCCATGTATCATCCTTTCAATGCAAGCTTACACTTTTCAGATCGCAAATGAATTCTGGAAATTACAATCATTTTCCGAATTATAAGAAAATGGCTGAAAATTTCAACAAAACTGCGATTAATTTCAGTTATGTAGAAAAGCTAGATATTTTCATTCAATCTTTTCAAGACAGATTTTCGGAGTTTAAAAAAGTGAAACCTCTGTTGGACATATTCAGCAATCCTTTCACGATTTCAGTTGAAAATGCGCCAGAGTCAATGCAGTTAGAAATTATCGACATTCAAAACGACCAAGATTTACGCAACAAATTCAACGAAGGAGACTTGCTGAACTTTTACCGCTTCATAGGTAAAAATACGTACAAAGAGTTGCGCATAAACACTCTGAAATGTGCCAGCTTATTTGGTTCTACCTATATATATGAACAAACCTTTTCAATACTAAATAATAATAAAACAAAAAATCGAAACGGCCTTGCAAATGACAGTTTGGAAGCAGTTTTACGTGTTGCTACAAGTAAATTTGAGCCAAATATAAAAAAGATTGTAAGCACTATGCAGTGCCACGCTTCAAATTAATAAATTCTTTTTCAATTTTAATACATCATTATCAATTCTCTATTGTCTTTAATCACCTCTACTTCTGGCGGCCCGCCATCAGTTGATATTTTGACCGAGTGGCCCCTAGTCTTAATAAGTCTGTGCATCACTGCTTTACATTAATACATTTCACTTTACATTAATACATTTCACTTTACATTAATACATTTCACTTTACATTAATACATTTCACTTTACATTAATATTCACTTTACTTTGGTCGTCAGTTTCTCTAAAATAAGTCCAAATAGTAAATCTCCTGCCGCTCATTTTTATCATATAATTATCAATTTTCACTAGGAATAAAATTCTTACGGCTCTTTTCCACCATGAATAAAGAGCCGTGGTAGCTCAGATTGTTAGCGCTCGCTGTAAATTTCACAGTGCGCAAGCAAACCGGGTTCGATCCCCGCCGGCACCAATGAAATTGTTAATTACAATTTTAAGTGCTGATTGACGTGCTCGGCGGTGAAGGAAAACATCGTGAGGAAACCTGCTTGTCTGAGAAATAAAAAAAATATTTCGAAGACATGTGAAGTTCGCCAACAAGCATATTGGGACAGCGCGGCGGACAATTCCTTGCCCTAAAACCCTCTCAGAGAAGAGCGGAGGCCTGTGCCCAGGAGTGGGACCTATATTTTATGCTGTAACGTTAACTAAGAATAAAACATCGAAATACTTTTTTTATCACAGGAATAGTCAAAACATAAGCATGTGCACGCAATTTGCTTAGTACTAGATGATGCAATAACTGTCAGATGTGGCGGGGAGCTAGAGGCAGGGTCCGGCGCAAATACCGCGCGCTTCACGGTAACAAGTTTCGACATAAATTGGTTAGGTCCCGAGGCTATCCTGCCGAATAATGTTCGGCCGAATATTCGGTTCGGTAAAAATTTTACCAAACATTCGGCCGAATATTCGTATTCAGTGAAATCCATATTCGGCCCATCACTAGTATTTATGCATGTTTGTTAGTTGTTGGGAGCACTAAGCTCGTAGTTGCTGACGAGTATGTTTACCTGGGACAAATATTCTGACTAGGTAAGTCCAACTTCGACGAATTCGACGGATTTAACTCGCCTGAGCAGCGTGCGGGAAATTAAGACACATTTTTTCGTCAGGTATACCTCAAAACCTGAAAACTAGATTGTACAACCAGTGCGTGTTGCCAGTAATGACTTATGGATCTGAGACGTAGTCGTTTACTGCTGGCCGTATGTAGACGCTCAAGGTCGCTCAGCGAGCTATAGAGACGACTATGCTCGGGGTTTCTTTGCGTGATGAAGTTAGAAATGAGGATATCCGCAGTAGAACCAGAGTGACCCAATGAAATGAAAAAGAAATGGCAATAGTGCGGTCATGTAGCTCGAAGAACCGACAACCGATGGGGAAAAAGGTTTTCGAGTGGCAGCCTCGTACCGGTAGGCGTAGTGTAGCGCGACCCCCCACTAGATGGGGTCGGATTTGGTAAGACATGCAGGAAGTCGATGGATGCAGGTGACATAGGACCGTGCTATGTGGCATTCCTTGGTGGAGACCTATGATCAGCAGTGGACTTGAAAGGGGTTGTAATGATGATGACACATGTTTGTGTGTATATAGATATGTAGGTATCTTATTAGGTGAAAGGACCTCTTTTCTGTCTAAGAATCTGTCTCGGTAGGTACCACACTCTTACTTCTTTCTGCCTGCAAATAGCAGTGCTTGCACCACCGTGTGCCGCTCTGATCGGTGTAGACAGCCAGTATAATTATAGGCCGTAAGGCATTCCATCCTAGTCCTCATCTTGAGGTGACAACGCATCTGTAGCTTCTTTGTTTGATGTTATCGCAGATTTTCATGGATTGCAGTAGCCACTTACCATGAGGTGAACTGTATGTCTGTCACCTTACTTTTATAAAAAAAATTGTATTGAAATAATACTAGTTTTTACGGAATTTATCGCGTGTATTTAACTTTTTAATTACCCGACGTTTCGAACGCTTTACAGCACTCATGGTCACGGGCAGGACTGAGATGTTCAACGTCCATATGTCCATAGTTAACCGCGGTTACCATTAGATTAAAATTTAACTTTTGTTCCGATCTATGCAGTATGAACTTATGGTATCTTGAAGTCTTGCAGTTGTATGCTTGGGTTGGGATTTAATTTTATTTATTATAGGATCCCAAGCAGATGGTAGCACCCAGCCATCTTCTCTATTGAAATTAGGATGTTTTTTGATTTCAATAGCCTCGCGAATCATCCTTGGAAGGAATCGGTGTTCTTTAGCGAGGATCTGCGGTCTATCAAATCTGATGTTCCTAGTCAGTGACGGGGGCGATCCTGTACGTGTTCACAGACTGCAGACTTCCCGGAGCGTCGATTCTTCACATCAGCTATATGTTCTTTAACGCGGGTTTTTATTGATCTTTTAGTTTGTCCTATGTAGGAGAGACCACATTCACAATCAAGCTTGTACACTCCTGCATCTTGCAGAGGGACATTACACTTGACCGATGGTAAAAACTGACCAATCTTCTTCAGCGGCTTGAAGTATGTTTTGATGGAAGCGCGCTTCAAGATGTAGCCAATCTTGTCAGTGACTCCTCTAACATATGGCAGTACAGCAGGTACACGCTCGACTGTGGCCGGCTTCACTCGTTCACTGTGACGTAGGCGCGGGACTCGAAGCTTGTTGTCATGCAAAACTTGCTTGACATGGTGGAGCTCTGCAGCCAGGTGTTTACTGTCACAGATCCCTCGTGCTCTCTGAAACAAAGATTTACCCACGGTAGCTAACTGTGAAGGATGGTGGTGAGAATCATCGTTTAAATATCTAGTTTCGCGTAAATATAAGAAATCATTATAAAAAAAATTGTACTTCAACCTCAAAAACATAATGTAGTTTGTAAGCTGTGATCAAAACAAAATAATATATTTAAGTTGGTATTGCTCATAAACTAAGAAAAATAATATTAACGGAACCCTAATAGAGCGACGCCCGACTGGCACTTGGCCGACTTCTTTTCACCTATCTTAATATATGTATATAAATTACGTATCACGTTGTTTGTCCGCGATGGACTCCTAAACTACTTAACCGAATTTTCTTTTTTGCTAATTTAAGTAAGGATTATTAATAGGACATGACAAAAGGTCGTCGAAAAGGGCAGAACAACGTCTGCCTGGCAAGCTAGTACAATATGTCATAGAAGTTGGGTTTGCGTTTTTTGTGTAGTTAGTTTTTTATAGGTCTAGAATGGAATGCCTCGATTTCAGTAAAATGAGTCTCAAATCTCGACTCTGACTATATGAAACATAGCTGCATTAAGCTGCTATTTTACGCTGGTATTCTGTGAGAGCGTGGTCCATCGCCGGTCGAGCCAACTCTTTCGTGCTATAACCATAATGTTACGAGCTTGAGGTTCGTGACAATAAAAACTGCCGATTGAATTACCAAAATTAACTCTTTAATTCACTTTACACTAATTAAAACTTAGAACACTAATAATTAACCACACTGATTCACTTTATTTCGATCCGAAGCTTCGCTTGTCTCGCCGAATTCAATACTTCCTCGATCGCATCTTGCAGCGCCTTTAAATACACATTATCACCGAAACATCCAGAATATTCAAGTAAATACGCGCGCCAATCGACAACGCGTCGAAAGTTCGAGTGTCGGGCTTCTAGAAGCTTAGTCTCTAGTATCAAACAAGAACGTTTCGATACTAGATGGCGATGTCGGTTGAAAGATTAGTGATGTCATTTTCTGGAAAGCTCCCCTCGCTCTCGTCCCCGACACTAGATGGCGCTAGTGCCCGGTACATGATGTCAATTTAGGCGCGCAACAATAATATAACTGCAGCGTGAATCTACCACGTATATTGTTATATTGCGTGTCTTCCTTTTTGGTTGTATCTTCGACACTACAGCCTAACTTCTTTATAGCATAATTAAGTTTTACGTCGGGCGAGGGTAGACTAGGACGAATGGAGTGCATTTGTTAACTATCGATTTTTGGGAATTTGCCGGTGTAAAAGTGAATGTGAAAACATTTTTAATTTTTCATAAATCATTAGTAGCCTATGTTACAGAGAACTACATCTTTTAGAGCTGCGCCACTCAAATATCTTTTATGGAACTTCAGTTAGGTATAGAATTATAAGGAAAGGTGTAGTGTCGCAAAAACATTATCTATATTTGCGAAATGATTAAGAGTAAGACTTCTGTTACACTGGCCGCCGCCGCGCCGTGGGCGTGGAGTCCGGATGGTAATTCAAGAGCCTGGCGCACTGGCGTTTTGGTTCACGTGGGAATGCATAACGTTAACCGCCAGCCTTTCTTAGTAACATGACTCGGAAATATTTTGTTTTGTCTACATAGAGCCGAAAGTGGAAAAAATATATTTAATTTTTTTTTTCATTAAGAAAAGATAGAGTCAAAGTTAAAGTAAAAAATATTGTAATGCTTTTCTTTTTTTTTGTAAGGGAAATAAATGTTATGTTATGCTAGTTTACGTTTTTTTAATTTTTAGACATTTTCGTGTTCGATTGCGCCACAATTAAAGTTATGGTGAATGTAATGACGCATAATATCAAAACATTGTTAATTATTTTGTTTTTGTTAAGTTTCATATTCAAATCAGTTATATTTGGAAATGAGGATATAGTATGATAGCAGGAATTAATATATATATATATATATATATATATATATATATATATATATATATATATATATATATATATATATAATTTAAGGTAAGGTTTAAGGTTAAAATTCAAAAGCGGAGCAATTATTTGTAGCTCATACCAAATACTTATCAAGTGCGGAATTCAAAACCGCAGCAGGCAGTACCGCGTAATTTTTATAAATATAAATCTCAAACATCATTAGTTCTGTCTGTAGTTGAGCACATGTGTATTGAAGCAATAAATGTACTTATTATAGTGTTTAAGGTATTCGGTTACGACTGCAACTAGGCCTTCTTTCCAGGGAGGTGGCGAATGCCTGGGAGAGTCGCATCGGCCCGCCCGACCAGCCGGCGCCCGCCCACCGCGTGCAGGGACTCTTCTACGACATCGGACTCTATCCCACTAAGACACAAGGTACGTTAATTAATATATTATAACGATTGTAACTTGTTTCTTTTGTATTGGGTTGTTATTGGCTTAAAATAAAATTAAAATTAAAATCTGTAAAATAAGTTTTATTTCATGTGTAGAGTTCATGTTAATACAACATGTACCATTGTGACTTGTGAGACATCAATGGAATGTAATATATCATTGTTTACATTTTCGTCCAAATATTTTGAGCCGTGGTAGCTCAGATGGTTAACGCTCGCTGTAAATGTAACAGAACGCGAGTAACCCGGGTTCGATCCCCGCCGTCACCAATGAAATTGTTAAGTGCTGATTTACCACGTGCTCCGCGGTGAAGGAAAACATCGTGAGGAAACCTGCATGTCTGAGGAATAAGAAAAAAAATATTTCGAAGACATGTGAAGTTCGCCAACACACATTGGGGCAGCTCGGTGGACACTTCCTTGCCCTTAAAACCATCTCAGAAATGAGGAGAGGCCTGTGCCCAGCAGTGGGACGTATATAGGCTGTAACTTTACTTTAATTTTATCCAAATATAACCCCAGTATCCAACAGACCCCCGTAGAACTTCTATTTGTACGCGAAACTAAAATGGTACCATTCCATGTTGAGTCTGCTTTGTTCTTTTTGATCCATAATCACGATAAAAATGTGGATCCATTTTGTATGAAAAACAATTTAAAAACAATTATATCATTAGATTTCTTTTTCTAAGAACTAATGAAGGTGTAGTAAAGTAGTACATAATACTTAGTAATAGATAAACATATACGACATACATGTAACCGAATTAGTATTTAAGTATGAATATTATTGTATTTAGTCGCAGATTACATCGGAGTATGATACGATTAACATCTTTTATTTCGCCTACACACGTCCATCTTCACACCAAAAAACCACCTAGGTGCTGAAGCAAAAGCTGGCTCAAAAAATAAAAAATGATATGCAGTTTTAAAGTTCACAGATGGCCTTTTCTATATTAAGAAATTTTTATAATCACCTCGCCTGGCGATTTTTATGAAATTGTTTCCAATCATTGGTTTGTTGAAGTAATTAATATTTTTATTATAATCATTGGTTTGTTTACGTATTCAAGCTTACTATCAGAATTCCCAACATTTTTCTCATTTTTAATGATTATAAATGTGAAAATATATCTCATTAAAATGAATAGACAAAAGCTCTTGGGCCACTGGGTCAATTCTATCCAATATTAAATATAAAAGGAATTATGTAAATAAACTACGTTTACTATATTAATAACACTAAAGTATCAGCTGTATCCTACCAATATCAACATGTTATGCATATTTACATATTTGCTGATACAATACTATATCTTCATGTAAATCAATACAGAACTCGTGATATGAACTCGACTTATGAGGAAGTAGTAATTACGTAGTACGAGTAAATGTCCTCGAAATGTTTACTCACCTCACATCGAAACAAATTTATGAGCATGCCTAAGTCGTTTAATACAATCCGATGACTGTGCGTAGTTCGGACAGATAACTGACGTCAGTACGTCACTGCTTGATTCAAGCTAAACCATTTTAAATTACGCATGCTGGGTTCACATACCGCGAAATATTCGCAGTTAGCATAATCATGTACCGTTCTGCAACCGTTCGGGAGATTATGGTATTTTGTGATTGACCTTAAAATAGCAAATAAAATAAATAAATAAATAAACGTTACTACACTTACGTTACGTAAGGATTTCTTTCTGTGTCGTAGAGACGGTTACAACATGAAATGCAGTATTATAAGAACAAACATTCAAACGCGAAACAATTATTCGTAGGTAGGTAGAAACACTAAATTTGTTCCATGCGGGATTCGAAGCAGAAGCCCTGCAGCGCCACAACCAAACGATTAACCTCTGCGCTGCCGATCCGACATTTTAATTCGTTCTGCATCATACAATTAATTCTACATATACTAATGAATAATGATTATCGTATAAATTTACTAACCAAAAAACTATGGAGTGTAGAAGTAAGTACAGATTGTGTATTAAGAAGTGTCCATAGAAAACCGTTAAATAAGGATGGCGCCACTATAGCTACGGGCTAAATTTTAAAGAACGCACCGAAAAATATTAGTAGGATAGACGACTTTTTCAAGATTATGTTTACTAAATAAAATTATTTTAGATTTTAGAGCTACTGAGCAGTTTAGCAGCACACTTCAAACCGTCGACAACTGCTAAGTTCATTTCATCCCAGCAGCTACTCCAGCGCTGTTGTGGAGAGATTTTGAACTGTTATTTACTGATTACAGATGGCCACTTTTTCAACTATTCTACTATGGGAGTTGGTACTCCTTACTTCTACACTCCATACAAAAAACTGTGATCGCGATTATGTTTTGTTTTTTCAAATTAGGTGTTATGACGTGGGAGAGCCGCAATCCAATTATATTATAGATGCAGCACGAATAGGTCGGCTTCTACCGGGGTAGGATTATGCTATTTTCCTTTTTTCATTCTTAGTTGATGATAGAAAATGTAGATGTCTACGTGTCACAACATCCACTTACTATTTACATTCTTTAAAAAAAAAGTAACGACATTTCGAGTAAATCAGGGGTGAAATTTCAATTTGTATGAAGTAAGGAATATCATAACGTCTAAATATTTATACTGAAAACTCCATGACCTATTTTGCTACACCTCGATGTGGAAATAACAAATAACATACAATTAAATAATATAAAGACCTCCTTTTTTAAAGTCAGCTACTATAATTTCTATCTAGTATAATTTCTATTATAAAATATTGTATAAAATATTTTATAAAATAGCAGCTGTTTCTGCTCCTCGCTCACTTAGCAATCAGCCTCCGCAGAGTCTACTTCACCTGAGGATACCTCGTGTAGAGGCGAATTATCGAGCGTTTTTTTTTTTGTAGCATAAAAGTGACAAACTTCCACTTGATGGTAAGTGGATACTGTGGCAAATAGACATCTACATCTATCCTCCATTACGAATCAAAATGAAGATGCGTTGTCATCCGTGAGAACTAAGATGGAATGCCTCATTTCCAATAAAAAGAGGGTCTCCGGTTCTCTACACTCACCATACGAAACACAGCAGTATTAAACTGCTATTTTACGTTGGTATTCTGTGGTCTTTTGTATTTGTAATTGCTGTTTAGACTATACTATGCGATAGCCTTCGATTATAAAGATATTTTACAAAACTTTGTACAATATACTACGATCTACGCTATTTTAATAGTCCCAAAAAAAAAAAAAATATTTGTGCACTATTTGAAAATATTATAGAACAATATTTCTAAAAGTACAAAAATAATCGCAAAAATTTAAAATTTTATAAAGGTAGTCATAACACTTTCGATATAAAAAAACAAAGGGGCAGACCGGATTTCTTTTCCTATACATACTAAATAGCAGCATGCTCTACAAAATTCTTCCTTTTTGTGGTGCTGGGATTAGTGGTGACGATGATATTGCACGCAATTGATGGTGGGTGGGAGCTGCTATTCATACTGGGCAGGACATATCATTGTATTTTATTACACCGAAATGAGCAAATTAAGTTCTAACAACTTCAATATAATAGATTTACGCAAAGTAACGCCTGATAGTAATATATAAGTCAATGCTGATTATATTAATTATTGATTATACGCAATCGTATTGCGTCATTTATGTCATCTATACGAAGGAAAGAAGACTTATGCTTTGTTATTCCTAATGAATTATTGTATGTTATAAGACTGGCTGTCGTTATCCTTTAAACCGGAACACAGGGTTGTGGGTGGTATTTACCCAGACAGACTTGATAAATATATTTAGAAATTTCATCTTGAATAAAAAAATTATAACCCCGACAACAACAACTAGATATATTAATTTATGCTAACGTTTGTTTGTATTAAAATAATCTAAAATCTCAAATATTAATCAATTTACCGTATTAGTAAAAACTATTTTTACTCATGTTATTTTACACTACTTTGTTGTGTCTGTGTAACGTAACGTTCAATTTTTTCTTATGGTTTGAGGCGTGGCGAAACGCGTTTGTTTTCCTTTCGAAATCTCGTTTTATGTGAAAAATTGATATCCTTAGACTTTGGAAAGGCTACTAATAACAATTTACGTTCACATTCGTGTTTGGCCCATGTGCGCTTTCACCGCATTACATTTCGCAGGTAAGACACATTCATTTTGTTCCGTATTAATTTAAAGTCGGTTTACCTTAACGTATATCGTACATACTTAATCATTTAATAATAACTAATTATACTAACTGAGAGTACAAAAGAAAGAGGCGAATGTGACGCCGTTTTGACTTATAAAACGATACAGATATGTTTTAATATGGTTGTTATGTCGAGGGCTCTTCTAAGAAAGAATTCCAGAATTGAAAGGTAATTTCCGCGGCAAACCTATACATTATTGTTTTCGGTCACTTCCGTGTCGGTACATTATATTCAGTGTGGGGAATAAAAATTTCAATCGCAAGGCCATTAGCGTCGAAATCAGATATATTTATCATATAGAAATCTATAAAAGGCTTAACGGGAACTAAGTTATAATTTTTTTGCATATTGTGACACAGTTACAAAAAGTAGTAATAGCAAGCACATTAATAATGTACTCCAGGCCAAAATTTTGGCACGGCAGCCAAACTTAACGCAGACTCGCCATCTGCGCAAGGTAAGATTAGGTATAGTGTGCGTGTGTGTACGCAAGCACTGCAGCCATCTCGATACCCTCACTCTCATAGTTCGATGGCACGGCAATCCCACACGACCGGAGAGCGATCAGCAGGCTTTCTCTTGAAAACAATTCCGAACGATCGAACCACATAATGTTTTCAAGAGTGCGAAATTATAATGTTTCGTACTCTTGAAAACATTATGTGGTGGTTATGTGAACTAATTGAGTAAATCCGATTGTAAGCAAAATCGGCACCCTCGACTCAGTTTTGACAGTTATTTGACAGCTGCGTATTGTGTTTGATATTG